TCATGGTTCAAAGCCAGCCTGGGCAGGAAAGTCCATGAGACTCTTATCTCCAATAAACCACTAGAAAACCAGAAGTGGCGCTGTGGCTCAAGCGGTAGAGTGCTCGCTTTGAGCTCATGAGCTAAGGGACAGAGCCCAGGCCCAGAGTTCAAGCCCTGCAACTGACTAAAAAAAACCAACAAAACAAAAAAACCCATCTCAAACCACGAAAAGATGGGTGTGGTGATATAAGCCTGTCCTTCCAGCTAAACAGGAAGAATAAAACAGAACTGGAGTCCAAGTACAGTCAGGCAAACGTGGAAAAGTAACAAAAGCAAAAAAGGCCGGGTATCTGCAATTCAGGGCCTGGGTGCTATCCCTGGGTCAACATAACAGGGCTGGGAATGTGGCTCAGTGCTGAGTGCTTGCCTCGCATGCATGAAGCCCTGGGTTCGAGTCCTTAGCACCACATAAGCAGAAAAAGCCGAAGTGGTGCTGTGGCTCAAGTGGTACAGTGCTGGCCTTGAGCTGAAGAGCTGAGGGACAGCACCCAGGCCCAGAGTTCAGGTACCAGAACACACACACACACACACTCTCTCTCTCTCTGTCTCTCTCTCTCTCACACACACACACAAATCAACCTAACAGAAAGAAAGAGACTATAAGCTATTAGACTAAAGCTACCCACATACCAACAACAAAATGGTCTTATCAGTGATTAAATGGATCAAAACTCTCCAATCAAAATACTTGAGATGAGAGGTGGGTAATCCCAGCACTCAGGAATCTGAGGCAAGAAGATGAGAGTTCAAGAGTTCAAGGGCAGCCTGGACCACACAGGGAGTTGCTGTCTCAAAAGAAGCAAAAGAACCGTACAAGTTAGTATTTGTTAAAGAACTCTCCTTTGGCAGGCAAAGGCAGCCTAGGCCACAGCCTGGTGAAGAAGCCTCCCTATGTGCACAGAAGAGAGCCCTGTGGTTGGGAATGAAGCTGTCGGGCGTGGGGGGGGGGGGCACAGCCTCCCTTCACAGCAGGACCACTACACAAATCCAGCCTGTCACTGCTGGCTGACACAGCACACCTTCACCTTGTCCACACGCAGAGGTCTGTGGAGACACCAAAGCCCCAGTCCACTGCGACTGACGTCACAGACAGAACCGAGAGAACTTAGGGGGCTGGCATCTGCTGAGCACCAGGAACAGGGACCAGCCCTCCCGGTGTTCTCCCCCACAAAGTGCAATGGAGCAGCCTCAGTAGAGAGGCGGGGGGGGGG